CGGACAATCGTCGGAGGTTCTGCGGGAACAAATCCGAGAAGTCCATGAGCTTGCCAAAGAAGCTCGTCGGAACTCGCCAAGTGGATCGTCGCAAGTCCAGGAGTTTGCCGGAAGTCCGCAGGAGCATCACCGAGGGTTCATCGGATGATCGACGGAAGTTCGCCGGAAGCTCGCCGGAAGAAGCGATTGACACACCGGAGCAAGTTGCAGTAAATGTCTTAGGAAATATCGTAGTTAGCACAATGATTAAGTTGGAAATAGGAGGTGATCCCATTAACTTAATCTTGGGGCAATTAGGCCCCTGAAAAACCCAAATTGGGCCGAATGGATCAACCCATTCAGACCCTAATTTTTGGCAAGAGGTGCAACCGCCCAAGCCAGGAGGTGACACCGCCTGGGCTAAGTCTCCGAGCGAGACTGGGCGGTGCAACCGCCCCAGCCAGGAGGTGGCACCGCCTGGGCTCAGTCTCCAAGCGAGACTGGGCGGTGCAACCTCCCCTGACAGGAGGTGGCACCGCCTGGGCTCGGTCTCCGAGCACTGGCTAAGCGGTGCAACTGCCTCAGTCAGGAGGTTGCACCGCCTGAGCTCGGTCTTCGAGCTCTGGCAGGAGGTGCAACCACCCCTTACAAGAGGTGGCACCGCCCAGAGGCTCAGTCTTCAAGCTCTGCCAGGCGGTGCAACCGCTCCAGTCAGGAGGTGCAACCGCCAGATCCCGAAATTCCGGGAATTGACAGTTTTGAGCTCCAAATTTGAACTGGGTTGGGGCCTATAAATACCCCACCCATTCAGCACTAAAAGAGAACTGAACATACACCGAAATCTTGATCTTGTTCTGTGATTTTTAGAGCTCAAAATTGTTGTAAAGGCCAAAAGTACTTCTCCCTCTTTTCTTCCAAGTTCTGAGTTTTAAAAAGAGGAGAGAAAATTCTGTAAGGGTTGTCTCCTAAGCCCGTCAAAAGGAGTGAAACTGTAAAAGGGTGGTTGGCCTTCGCCTATTGAAGGAAGACCTCTAGTTGACGTCGGTGACCTCGTCGGTGGAGGAAGCCAAAAGTGGAGTAGGTCAAGATTGACCGAACCACTCTAAATCTCGGTTTGCATTTACTTTAAGCATCTTATCTTTACTGCAAACCTCCTCAATAGCTTACTGCTTTCTTTGCTTTTACGAACGTCGTATTTCAATTTGCGCTTATATTCTGATTTCCATCATAGCCGCAAACTGTCTTAATAGATTTACTTTAACGTCATCTCGCTTGATCTTAAGTTAAAGTAATCTTAGAATCAGCTTTCATACCGAAATCGCTTTTATCGTACGAACGCAGTTTTTATTAATCGCAGAAAGATTTCCGCTGCACTAATTCATCCCCCCCTCTTATTGCCAAAAGATCCCGAAACCAAGCTCTGATATCAGTTTGTTAGAGCTAGCCCGAATAAAGGAGGAGCAAATCACTACTATAAAAATGATTATTACAAATGTCTTAGGAAGATGTTCCTAGGCCATAAAACACACCCGAAAATACTAAACAAAAAAAAACTCAAATTATAAGCTCAAACTATTTAACTAAGAATGGACTTAAACCCAAAACAAACACTTAGGTTTATCTTGTGGTGCATTTTGTGGTACATCTGATTTCAAAGCCCATGCCCTTATTTATAGTTTCAATAGGAGATAATAAACCTGATTTTTCCGATGTGAGACTATGGGACTTGCCAAACTAACACTATCTAACATAGTTGACAAGATTTCATCATGTCAATGTCCATACCATCATAGGATAAAATGTCATCATCACCACTATATAAGTATACACCATCATAGGATAAAATGTCATCGTCACCACTATATAAGTATACAGAGACATTGTAAGGTAAATACTGAGGATATTCCAGAATACCATCAAAGGATGAGCCTTTGGTTCTGTTGTGAATTAGGAGGCTAAGTGGGGTTTGAGGTGGTACGTAAACGACCTCTCTATAATATAATAATACACTGACTCTTCTAGACTCGTATTACAGATATGCTAGCAATATATTATCTTTAATTTTTTGCAAAACACATCCATTTGAGGTTTGTAAGTAGGCAATGCATGTCCAGGTATCATGGACAAGTAGATGATGATACTATGGACGCTTCCATGACCATAGAGAAGATGAAGTGCAGTATATATCATGTTCTGATTGGTTTACGTGTTCTTTGCACAGATTCATTCGAGGGCAGAAGCTGCTAAAGAGGCTATCAATAAAGCTAACACAGTTGAAGCCCCGAAACAAGAAAGCTTGGATTCAGTATCATTCATCCTAAAGAAAATTAGAGCTGATATCTCAACATTTACTTCCTAGCAAAACCTCATTGAAAAGATTAGCCAAACATTTGTACACAAAAAAAAAGGAAAAAATCAATAAGAAAATCTAATAATTGTGTTTGCTTATGTATAGCTTAATAGCTAAACCTACTGAATCAAAAATTTCAAATAGAAAAAGACCATTAATCTAACCTAAATATAAAATAAATAATGTATTCCTAACGAAGATTAATGCAAGAGAAGACGCGAGCAAAGCTGGAGCGCTCTCATGCAGCCACGACCACCTGCACGGGGACCGAAGGCGGAGCCAAGGGAGGCGGAGGGGGAGGGGGAGGAGGAGGGTGGAGTTGGGCGCGGCAGAGGGGGCAGTCCGGGTGCGCCGAGAGCCACCGGTCGGCGCAGAGGCGGTGGAAGGCGTGCCGGCATTCGGGCAGCACCCGCGCCGCCTGTCCCGCCTCGATGTCCTCCAGGCACACCGCGCACTCCTGGCCGGCCACCGCCCCCCCGTCCGCCTCCCCGCCCAGCCGCTCCAGCTCCGCTGTGGACAGCCCCTTCCCGCTCTTGTTCCCCTCCCCGTTCCGCAGCATCGACGACCACAGCATGCACATGTACACCATGAACACCACGCCCATCCCGAAGCACACCAAGAACAGGGCGACGAACAGAAACAGCAGTAACATCATTCCCTCCCCCTTCCTCTCCCTCTCCTCTCTTTCTTCTTCACTCCTTTATCCGTTACGGACGCCCTAATTAAAGTGGGAGGAGGAGAGACGAGACACTATGAATAGGGAGGAAACAAAGGAAGGAACGCCTCGAGCTCCTCCTCTGTTTCTCGCCTCCTGGGGAACGGGGTTCAATGGAGTAAGCGGGTGCTACTTTTGGCCAGGGGAGGAGTGGGCGGGCTAATGGAGGATGGGAGAGGGAGGAGCGATCGGACGGCCAGGTTCTGTGGATGGACGGGTGCGCTACACCTGTGCGGCACTGGCTCAGGGGGTGAGGAGGAGGAGGAACGGCAGGCGGAGCCGATTCGTCGTCGGAAGGCTCGGGGAGGGGCGAAACCTGTGAGGTCGGCGTGCGCCTCCCTCCCCCCGTCCGATACGTGTGTGCTTGGCTCCGCCACGGGCTCACGTTCGTCGTGCGGAGGAATGACGCGCGGCGTGGGCTCGTGGCGAGGCCACTCCATGTGTGGGCTATGCGGCTATATGAGGTCAACCACGATGCAGCGTTGGAATATGATGTGGCACCATCATACTAGAGGATCGAAGTGGGTCCGGCTCGAATTATGTAACAAGCATGTTGGTCGATTATGTAATAACTGTCATCTTTAATTACAGTCAAAGGTATGAACAGTTTGACCTCGGGCTCTTTGAATGCTGAAAGTAGAGCGACAACAGATTGCAGTGCTCTTCTGATAATGTGATCAATCTTAAACATTAAGTTGCATGAGAATTTGAATGATGGTTTTTCAGGAATATAATTTTCCAATCAACAGAAATGAAGCTCATTTCTGCACATATCAGGAGAAGTAAAAATAGTCTGAGATTGCGATTGTCTTGTGAATAGCGACAACAAAATCAAGCTCTTAGGAAATAACGTAGGCATCAAGTTCCTACGGGCAATCCTTTTATTTAAGATGATTTCGAGGCGTTTTTGATCGTCTCTGATTGTCAATCGTCAATCAAGTAAATAGTTCTATTGAGTTGATTAACTCGTATTGGTGGAAGATGATCGGAGTTAATCGTATTCTCCGTATTATAAATTTTGATTATAATTATTAATAAATAAAAATAAATTAAATTATGATAGAATTTCTTGAAGGAACTCACATGATTACTAACTTAGACTCTTTACACTTGCTTATAAACAAATAAACAAATAAGATCTCGTAAAAATAAATAATTAGTTATTGAAATAATAGATTTATTCTCAATCTCCCTTAATCCCTAAACTATTGCTCATATTGGTCCTATAAAAGATATAAAGAGAGGAAAAGTCAGCTATAGTTATCCTTGCAGATCGACATCACTATAATTTTTGAATCCAATAGTGATACAACTGTAGATACTTTCTTAGTAGCATTGAAAGTTACATATTAAATATGAGATATCATTATTCAATTTTAATTTCTGATATTAAATATTTTTACATAATAGTAGTATAATAGTTTTTATGCTTATAATTGGTATCAGAGTTATGATTTCAAACACTTTAAATCGTAAAAGTATTTTAGATCTATTTTATTTTTAAATATATTTATTAGTACTCTTCGCTTACAAAAATATGTTATTTAGTTTTGATTTACGATGCTTATATGATTATTTTATATTATCAATTTGCTATTTAATCTAGTTTGCCCTATCACTTGCTTGCGGGCAATGCAAAGTTTCTCATGCTTGATTGATAAACCACTGTCAATAATTTGTTATCAATGATAGTTTTATTGAGAGTGATGGCTTATAGTGGTCATGGGCCCAATTATGGGCAGTGACTGCATACACAATGGAAGTGTTGTGCGACAGTTGATGATGATCGCAAGCACGATTGCTTGAGTGCAACAGCCTTATGATGACCAACCTACCTTAATCATAAGCAACTATAGTAGTGCCACTACGTATGGTGACTTTAGTAGTGTCGTTGCTTGCGATAGTTATGGTGACTACAGGATATCACTGCCTTTGATCAACAGTTATAGTATCGCCACTACAACATTTGCTTGCTAAGGTTGGTGTTGATTAGACGTCGAATGTCATGTTACCCATTGGCTGCACGACGGACTTGTCAGC